TTAGGAAATATAAAACAATGATGGCACAGCCCCCGCCCTCAAAGTTTTCACCATCCTTTGTAAATAAGAGGAAGCTGGGGTGTCTGAGGGGGAGAGAACAAGGGACCAGTTACCTCACTAGGAAAAGGCAGGGAGGTCCCTGGGGGGTCGGTTCTAATTAGAAGCTTCCTGGAGGAGGAGAGATTTCCGCCCAGTGGGAAGGAGGCCGTGGACGGAGTGGGAGTGCAGAGGCACCTCCTGGCAGAGCCGGTGGGCACAGGTCTTGTGCGGTGAGCCGGACCGGCTGTGCTTAAGGCTGGCCGGCCAGGCATTCTGCTCTGAGCTAAATTTAAAGGGTGACTCTACTGGTATGGCTGCTGCAGGCAACCGGAGAATCTGGACTGTATCCGAAAAGCATGTGGTGCTCCTGGGGGTGAAACTTGTGGCTATTTGAGATGCATCCTCCGATTAAACCCTTTCTTCTGGCATCTGCACAGGCTCAGCCCCCGGGGAACATCTGTCTTAGAGGGACACATCTGGATTCCTGACACAACGCATCACACTGACAACGGGCTAATCCCAGTGTTTCATAGTAATACAATATTTATTTAGGACTCTCCTCATTTTGAAGTGGAACTGGAGGGATTTGCAAATATGTTCACAGGGACAAGATAAAAATACAAGAGGTAAAACAGGAGATAAAAGTAGAAGTAGGGTGAGGCAAAGGAGAGGTGCGCATGCTCACAGGCTCTGGATACTTTTACAGAGGTGGGCTGCATAGCTGGGGCTCGCCTCTGAGCAACGAATTTTGTCCTAAAGCAAAGTGGTGGGTTTTTCATTTTTTTAATAATAAACATTTTACTTTAGAATTATTTTTTATTTATAAGATTACTGTGCAGAGGTAGTATAGAGAATTCCTGAATACCGTATGCCCAGTTCCCCTATTAGTGGCATCTTATATTAGTATGATATATATAACCCCATTAATGAACAATATTGATACAATATTAAGTAAAGTTCACAGTTTATTCAGATTTCTTTTATTACCTAATGTCCCTTTTCTTTTAAATTGTTTTTAAATTTTTCAGTTACAGTTGATAATATTTGTTTCAGCTGTACAATATAGTGACTGGGCATTTATATAACTTACAAAATGATCCACCCCAATAAGTCTAGTACTCATCTAAAACCATACATACTTATTATATTAATGACTACATTCCCTAAGCTCTACTTCACATCCCTGTGACTATTTTTGTAACTGGTATTTACTTCTTAACCTGTTTGTTTGTTTGTTTTGCTTTTTTCAGATTTCCCATGTAAGTGAAATATATATTTTATTGATTTTTTACAGAGAGGAAGGGAGAGAGATAGAGAGCCAGAAACATCGATGAGAGAGAAACATCGACCAGCTGCCTCCTACACACCCCGTACCGGGGATGTGCCCGCAACCAAGGCACATGCCCCTGACCGGAATCGAACCCGGGACCCTTCAGTCCGCAGGCCAACGCTCTATCCACTGAGCCAAACCGATTTCGGCGTGAAATTGTATGTTATGTGCCTTTCTCTGTCTTATTTATTTCACTTAGTATAATACCCTCTAGACTCATCCCTGTTGTTGCACATGGCAAAATTTTATTCTATTTTATGGCCAAGTAATATCCCATTGTATATATGTACCATTTCTTCTTTATCCCCTCATCTGTCGATGGACACTTAGGTTGCTTCCGCATCTTGGCTACTGTAGATAAAGCTGCAGTGAACATAGGGGTGCACGTATCTTTTTGAAGGAGTGTTCTGTATTTCTTTGGATAAATACCCAGAAGTGGCCTCAGCATGGACTTTTCTCTCTATCCTTACTTATAGGACTTCTGTTCAGCTAGTCTTCAGGTGAATCTCATTGATGGTTGTTCTATAATTTAGTTGTAATTTTGATGTGGTTGTGGGAGGAAGGGAACATAGCATTTACCTACTCTTCCATCTTGATTGGAAGTCTAAAATACAGTTGTTATTTTTATTTTGTGTGTGGTTTTACTTACTTTTATTTTTTATTAAATTTATCAGAGTAATATTGGTTAACAACATTATATAACTTTCAGGCGTATGAGATTATAATTTGATATCTGTGTGCTCAACGCCTAAGGTCTAGTTTCCTTCTGTTCCCATGTATCTGACCCCCTTTCCTTTTTCCCCTTCCTCTACCTCCTCTGGCCACCTACATGCTGTATGTTTGAGTTTGTTTTTATTTTGTGTGTTCTTCTTTTACTTTTTGTTTTTAATTATTTTTATTGTTTAAAGTGTTACAGATGTTCCCCCATTGGCCTCTCCTCCTCCCCTCACCTACCCCCTCCCCAGGCCTTCACCCCATTATTGTCTGAGTCCATAGGTTAAGCATATGTGCATATCAGTTCTTTGGTTGATCTCTTCCCTTCCACCCCCCCCCCCTTTATTTTACTTTTTGTTTTATATTACACATATGAGTGAAATCATAGGTGAGTTTTTGTGTTTTGTTTTGTTTTTGTCCTTTTCCATCTGACTTATTTCACTTAGCATAATCTTGAGAGAATTAGGCAGAGTTTTTATTTTTAACACAATAATGTAGCATCTTGAAGATTCCAAGCTTGTATTCAGAGAATAGTCCTTGATGATGAAAGAGATTGTGCACATTGGATAATGCTGGGTGTTTTCTTTACCTCAACTGTTGCTGCAATGAACTCATTAACAACACAAGCTGAAAGCAAAACACGTGCCCAGGCTTTCTGGCTGAGTTTCCGTGGCTACGAGGCAGTGGACCCGTGGTTCTACTTAAGGAAACTTGAGCTCTGAGATGGAAGAGAAATTCCTCTCTTTAGAAAACTGTCTTCTTTTTAAATCCTCACTTGAGCTTATTGTTTCCATTGCTGTTTAGAAATGAATGGGAGAGAGGAACATCGATGAGAGAGAGACACCAATTGGTTGCCAGGGATCAAATCTGCAACCCAGGTACATGCCCTTGACCAGGAATTGAATCTGTGACCCTTTGGTACGAGGGCTGACACTCTAACCTAGGGGTGTCGAACTCAATCAGAGAAGGGGCCAAAATCTAAAATCCAGCCTAAATCGCGGGCCGAATGGTTTACTGAACAGTCATAAACTGTCATTGTGATGGAAACACAGCGGAGTGCAGTGCTGACAGCGCGGTGCGGGCCACATTGCAAGGCCTGGCGGGATGGATTTGGCCCGTGGGCCTTGTGTTTGACACATGTGCTCTAACCATTAGGCACACCAGTCCAGGCCATAACTGTTGGTTTTTAATTCCCATTTATTTATTTATTTATTTATTTAATATATTTTATTGATTTTTTTACAGAGAGGAAGGGAGAGAGATAGAGAGCTAGAAACATCAATGAGAGAGAAACATCGACCAGCTGCCTCTTGCACACCCCCCACCGGGGATGTGCCTGCAACCAAGGTACATGCCCTTGACCAGAATCGAACCTGGGACCCTTCAGTCCCCAGACTGACACTCTACCACTGAGCCAAACTGGTTTCGGCTTTAATTCCCTTTTAGAGAAAGTTCTTGTCTCTGCCTCTTCCCTCTACACACACCTCCCCCAAACACACTTTTTTTAGTTTGTGCCATCAGAGAGAGGGCACTTTGCCCCGACTCAATGGCCATTCATATGTAAGAAGAGGGAGCAGAGACCAAAGGCCTGGGCCCGGGTGTGTGTATTTACATGTGAGAACAGGGAGCAGAGGCGGAGGCCGGGTGTGTGTATTTATATGTGAGGACAGGGAGAACAGGGAGCAGAGAGTGAAGGCGCAGGTGTGTGTATTTACATGTGAGAACAGGAAGCAGAGTGAAGGCCCAGGTGTGTGTATTTACATGTGAGAACAGAGAGCAGAGGCAAGGGCCCGGGTGTGTGTATTTACATGTGAGGACAGGGAGCAGAATGAAGGCCGGTGTGTGTATTTACATGTGAGAACAGGGAGGACAGGGAGCAGAGTCAAGGCCGGTGTGTGTATTTACATGTGAGAACAGAGAGCAGAGTGAAGGCCGGTGTGTGTATTTACATGTGAGGACAGGGAGCAGAGTGAAGGCCGGTGTGTGTATTTACATGTGAGAACAGGGAGGACAGGGAGCAGAGTCAAGGCCGGTGTGTGTATTTATATGTGAGAACAGAGAGCAGAGTGAAGGCCGGTGTGTGTATTTACATGTGAGAACAGGGAGCAGAGAGAGAAGGCCCAGGTGTGTGTATTTACATGTGAGAACAGGAAGTAGAGTGAAGGCCCAGGTGTGTGTATTTACATGTGAGAACAGGAAGCAGAGAATGAAGGCCCGGGTGTGTGTATTTACATGTGAGAACAGGAAGCAGAGTGAAGGCCCAGGTGTGTGTATTTACATGTGAGAACAGGAAGCAGAGTGAAGGCCCGGGTGTTTGTATTTACATGTGAGGACAGGGAGCAGAGTGAAGGCCGGTGTGTGTATTTACATGTGAGAACAGGGAGCAGAGAATGAAGGCTCGGTGTGTGTATTTACATGTGAGAACAGGGAGCAGAGTGAAGGCCGGTGTGTGTATTTACATGTGAGAACAGGGAGCAGAGAATGAAGGCTCGGGTGTGTGTATTTACATGTGAGAACAGGGAGCAGAGTGAAGGCCGGTGTGTGTATTTACATGTGAGAACAGGGAGGACAGGGAGCAGAGTGAAGGCCGGTGTGTGTATTTACATGTGAGAACAGGGAGGACAGGGAGCAGAGTGAAGGCCGGTGTGTGTATTTACATGTGAGAACAGGGAGGACAGAGAGCAGAGTGAAGGCCGGTGTGTGTATTTACATGTGAGAACAGGGAGCAGAGGCGGAGGCCCGGGCCTGGGTGTGTGTATTTATATGTGAGGACAGGAAGCAGAGTGAAGGCCGATGTGTACATTTACATGTGAGAACAGGGAGCAGAGGAGAAGACCTGGGTATGTGTAACATGTGAGGACAGGGAGGACAGGGAGCAGAGTGAAGGCCGGTGTGTGACAGCTTTGCTCTGTCTCAGTGTGAAGCAGCACGAGCGCTATGGCCAGCTGACCCTGGTCAACTCCACCGCGGCCGACACGGGCGAGTTCAGCTGCTGGGGGCAGCTCTGCACCGGCTACGTCTGCACGAAGGACGAGACCCGAACCGGCTCCACCTACATCTTTTTCACGGGTAAGAGGGCTGCCGCCTCAGTGGACTCTTCAAACGCCTGGACTCGCTCAGGGTGAAGGCTCCCCTGTGCGCTGAGTAACCATAGTGACAGTCAGAGCCCTCCCTGTCGGTCAGGCCCTGGGCTCAGTGCTTTCCATCAGTTCGTTCAGGTAAGTCTCTCACCAGCCCTTCAGGGCGAGGACTAACACCATTTCCGTTTCCTTTTCCCAATGGAAAAACTGAGGTTGAGAGATGAAGTAAGTCCTGAAGGTCATGCTACAAGGAATGTGCCTGTTATCAGAATTTGAACCCAGGACCGTCTGACTCCAGAGTTTGGACCTACATTGTCCAGTATGGTAGCCACTGGCTATTTACGTTTAAATGGGAATTCAATTTAAACAAAATGTAAAGCTCAGTTTCTCTGTGGCCCTTACATGTTTCATGGGCTCCATTGCCACGTGCGCTGGTGGCTGTCCCGGTGGACACGTGACAGAGAATACCTCCATCATCGCAGAAAGCCCGGCTGTCAGCTTTGAGTCACGTGCTCTCATACCTGAGAAGGCCTTTCCGGAACCCCCGCAGTCCTAAGATGGCTGGCCAGGGGCCTCTCTGTATTTGTTCTCGTGAGTGCTGAGCTGAGGGCTGAGGGGCTGGATTCCCAGAGGAGGTCATCCTTGAGTCTCCAGCCCCAGTCCCTGGGCGAGGTGCCTGAGAAGGCGCAGGTCAGAGTGAACTCTCCTCCCCGCAGTGCTAGGTCTGGCTTTGCCGGCGGCATTGCACTTGGAGAAACAGGCTCTGCAGAGGAGGTGGCAGTCTCCTCCTCTTGAAGGAGGGGGATGGGGTTCTCCAGGGCCCAGTGGTCAGGGGCAGCTTTCAGGCCTTACAGAGGCCATCCCCCGATGAAGTCAGAGTGCTTTTTTTTTTTTTTTTTTTAATTTTTATTGATTTCAGAGAGGAAGGAAGAGGAGAGAGAGATAGAAACATCCGTGAGAGAGAATTGTTGGCCAGCTGCCTCCTGCCCGCCCCACACGGGATCGAGCCTGCAACCGGGCTTGTGACATGAATGGGAACCGAACTGTGACCTCCTGGTACCGTAGTCGGCAAACTGTGGCTCTCGAGCCACATTCGGCTCTTTGGCCCCTTGAGTGTGGCTCTTTCACAAAATACCACGGCCTGGGCGAGTCTGTTTTGAAGAAGTGGCGTTAGAAGAAGTTTAAGTTATAAAAAAAAATTTGGCTCTCAAAAGAAATTTCAATCGCCGTACTGTTGATATTTGGCTCTGTTGACTAATGAGTTTGCCGACCACTGTCCTAGTTCATAGATTGATGCTCAACCACTGAGCCATGCCAGCTGTGCCACAATCCTTAGTGTCATAGGCAGGCACTTTCAGGAGTTTTGTCCACTTCCTGAATCCATCTGCCTTTCAGACCCTAGTGATTTAGGCCTATGACTCAAATGACCTGACTCCCTGGCCATTAATGACTGCTTTAATGAAATCTCATGTTTAATCCCTTCCCATCCAGAGAGCGCCTCTCTGGCCAGCGCCTCTCATGGCCCCGGAGGCCCATGGGTCTCATTTCACTTCCAAATGCCCCCGGGAAGTGAGCAGAACCTGCTTTATTGCTTATTATCTCTGTGTGAGAAATCATGACACGGACACTGAGGCTCAGAGGGCAAGGCGACCCGTTCAGGGTTTCGTGGCTTACAGCGGCGGAGTAAAGATCCAGCCCTGTGTTCCTGACCCAGGATCCAATGATCTTACTGCCCTGACCCGTTTAGAAGACCAGGTGACTGGTTGGTGGGCAGACAGACCGGCACTAGCTAGAGCATAACGGGCATTGTCAAGGAGAACGGCTTGCAGTCGTTCACAGCTCATCCCTTCTGATCCTCATTCTGGAATGTGCTGCGCAGAAAGCCCACGTGCCTCAGTGTCACACCGCCCTGGGAAGTAACGGTGGAAAAGGCACCGAAGACCGATCAGGGCCTCTTCTGTGGACGAGGACAGATAGATAACACATTTCACATGACAGGAGGAAGACTTTTCTTTCTTTCTTTTTTTAAAATACATTTTTTATTGATTTGAGGAAGAGAGAGGGATAGAGAGTTAGAAATATCGATGAGAGAGAAACATCGATCAGCTGCCTCCTGCACATGCCCTACTGGGGATGTGCCCGCAACAAAGGTACATGCCCTTGACCGGAATTGAACCAGGGACCTTTCAGTCCGCAGGCCGACGCTCTATCCACTGAGCCAAACTAATTTTGGCAGAAGGAAGACTTTTCTGCCACAGTTAGCCCTGTTGTGTCTTCCCAAACACTGGTTTTTGAACTGAGATTTTTGAACTGAAACCTCCCTTGAGCAAAATGTCCTATTAGGGTCCTGGGCTCTCTCCGAGTTTTAGAGGCAGGTCTTCTCCCTCCACTCAGGGAAGCCCCTTTGTGAATCAAAGGAACACCCCCAAATTAGTATTCATTTCAACATAAATATTATGTTGAGCATTGACCTATGAACCAGGAGGTCACAGTTTGATTCCTGGACAGGGCACATGCCCGGGTTGTGGGCTCCATCCCCAGTAGGGGGTGTGCAAGAGACAGCCAATCAATGATTCTCTCTCATCATTGATGTTTCTGTCTCTCTCCTCCCCTTCCCGCCCCCTCGCCTCTTCGAAATCAATCAAAAAGTGGGGTAAGAGGGGGTGTGACCCAACGTGTTGTAGCATTTTCTCAATCCTCACACAAAGTGAGAAGACCAGTTGTGTTTTCGGTATAGGGTTCGGCAGCCTGTCTCTTCAGTTCTGGTGAGTCTGCAAAACCAGGAAGGGCTGTGATGAGAGCCGAGCGTTCCTCTGCTGGCTCTAGATCCCCTCAGAACATATGCTTTCCCTCTGCCCACACAGAGGAACGTCTGGCGTTCATTCTGTTCGCGTGTTCCCCGGAGCTCGATGGCAAACACTGTGAAGCTTCCTTTTGATTGTTGGTAATTTGTGCCATTTTTGTGTTAATTTGTGCAACTGTCACATATTATATTTAATCTTATCCAGGAGGCGCTCATGTGTTTCCCCCCCCCGACCCCCTAACTTTTTATTGAAGTATAACAAAGTGCACACATCGTAGCTACACAGCTCAATAAATTACCCTCCAGTCACACGTGACTGCCACCCAATCAAAGAGGGGAACATCCCTGACAACAGGCCTTTCTCACGGCGAAGGGCTTGGGCTCCAGGCTTCACATGTAGCAAAACCACATGAAGGAGCACTGTTAGGGAGCGGGTAATCGTTTGGGTTTTAGTTTACAGCCTATTCTCTAATGCTTTTGGAAATCTAAAATTTTCATGTGTTTAGTTTTCTTAAAGTCATATGTTTTATCTGCTCGAGTAGATGCAAACATATCTGCAAGGGGCATATGTCACCTACAATTCTTTGAACTTTAGCATACTTTTTTGGGGGGTAGAAGGAATGTACTGATTATAAGGGAAATTTTTTTTTCTTCTGTTTGCTAAAGCAACTGGTGCGGTCACTTCTTTTCAAAGCGTGTCCAAGTAAGACCACGTTTTTGTATTCTGACATTCCGATGGTTATCATGCTGGCTTCGCTCCCTGGTTTCAGTTTTCTCTACAAACCCTTAAGACAAAAGTTGCTTCTAAGCCTTACAGTCATCAACTCCTTAAACGTTTTGGCCAAAAAAGACCTCTTGAATACTATCTACTCTGGATTCTTCTCTTTACAATCGGGGCTGACATGTCCAAGGCCACGCAGAATTGCTGCTTGTGAACACAGGACTGTTAGGTGCCCCTTGCCTACGCCTGAAAGTCAGTTTCTCATGAGGTGTCCTGAGCCACTCTGGCTGATAGAAAGCCCAGGAAAGACAGGGCCTCTCTGCGCCGTGGCATTCCCTTCCTGACCTCAGTCAGAGCCGGGGAGTGTGTGTGGGGAGGGGGAGGAGGACCTAAAACATTGGGTCAGGGACAGAATGCATGGGCTGGCGCACAAAGAAGGGTAGCGGAGGAGAGAGCCAAGAATAATTGGTTGTTTTGGAACATTGCAGGAAAAACATGGGAAACAATTGAACAAGCGTTGGGGTATAATTAAGTTCAATGATTTCTCTTAATTAGGATAATATCCTCTCATAGTACAGAAAACAAAAGATTTTAACGTGCCATGCCAAAAACAAACGAAAAATAAATCTCAACCCATAGTCCTTTGTACTAAGGAAAGTCGGGGCATACCAGTCCTCGTTTCTGTAAGATAAAAATGCCTTTTTCTCCTCATTTCTGTAAGATAAAAATGCCATTTTCTGTGCTTAAGAAACACACGGAGTGACTTCAGAGGGAACAGGGGTATAAGAAACTGGCTGGAGGTCCCCAGCCCTGAGACAGCCATGCTGAGCTCAGAACCTGAGGTCAGTGGAAGCAGGCTCCTCATCTGTCTCTTCTCCATTCCCTGTCCACGGGCCTCGGCAGGAAAGAGGCGCCCTGGGCTGGATTCTCGGGGGAGCGCTGCTGTGCTGAGATCCACCTCCGGCAGCACTTCCTGTGCGGGTCCCGGGGCTGATTTCTCCAGAGACACAGCGGGTTATTTCCAGGTCTTGGGCTACTCTGATCCTATGGAAATCAGCCTCCTCCCCGGCTTCCCCAGGGAGAAAGCCATGGGCCTGACTTGGGCTTGAACTAAGACCTATTTTATTTCCCTTAAGGAGATGGGAAATAATAGCAGCCTTCTTCAGAAAGGGGAAGATTATGTAAAAATAGCTTTCTCTACTCCCAAGGACTCAGTATTCTGAGTATGTTGTCAGGCCCCTCTCATCTTTGTGCCCTGGAGTCGAGAATCCATAAAGTGTTCTCTACCTTGTTCCTCCAGAACCGGGGTCAGCAAACTGCGGCTCGAGAGCCTCATGCGGCTCTTCGGCCCTTGTGTGTGGCTCTTCCACAAAATACCACGGCCTGGGCAAGTCTATTTTGAAGTAGTGGCGTTAAAAAAAGTTTAAGCTTAAAAAATGTGGCTCCCCAAAGAAATGTCAATCGTTGTCCTGTTGGTAGTTGGCTCTGGTGACTAATGAGTTTGCCGACCATTGCTCCAGAACAAATAAGCCCGTGTCCTTTGCTTTGCAGAGAAAGGAGAACTCTTTGTGCCTTCTCCCAGTTACTTTGATGTTGTCTACCTGAACCCGGACAGACAGGCCGTGGTTCCTTGTCGAGTGACCGTCCCGTCAGCCAAAGTCACGCTCCACAGGGAGTTCCCGGCCAAGGAAATCCCGGCCAATGGAACAGACATCGTTTATGACATGAAGAGAGGCTTTGTGTACCTGCAGCCTCATTCTGACCACCAGGGGGTGGTCTACTGCAAGGCGGAGGCTGGGGGCAAGTCGCAGATCTCTGTCAAGTATCAGCTCCTCTACGCAGAAGGTGAGCATGTTTCCCACCGGCGCCTAGATGTCAGTGGCTTCCAGCTGGTTAGTATCAGGCACCGCTGTTCCTAAGTATGGATGGAAATTAGGAGGCACTGAATGCAATTCTCTTTTTATTTTTATTATTTTTAAAATATATTTTATTGATTTTTTACAGAGAGGAAGGGAGAGGGATATCCCCACTGGGCATGTGCCCGTAACCAAGGTACATGCCCTTGACCGGAATCGAACCTGGGACCCTTGAGTCCGCAGGCCGACGCTCTATCCACTGAGCCAAACCGGTTTTGGCCAGAATGCTGTTCTTAATGGCTTCTGTATTGCACCACTATTTCTAGAATGTTCTACTTCCTTGTCTGTGACCATGACCTTCAGATGAACCCTGGCAGACCTTTTAGCCTCCTTCCTTAATCACGAGGGGAATGGCTGAGCCTGGGGAGTTCTGGGTGCCGACCCCATTAGGACCACCAAGGTAGAGAAATAGGAGGCTTCAAGGAATCCGGAAGTGGTGGGATGGAGGCGGCCTGGTGCTCATGGGGAGAGGCGGAAAGGTTACATACCTGTCCAAAGAGAGGAATGTGCCTGTGGGTTTGTCTTCCGGGTTGCACTCCTGAGTTTCACCTCACGTTCCCTGTCTCCTGCTCAATGCCAGTTCCCAGCGGCCCTCCATCCACAACCATCCTGGCATCTTCAAATAGAGTGAACAGCGGGGACGACCTCAGTGTCCTCTGCACTGTCCTCGGGGAGCCTGACGTCGAGGTGGAGTTCAGGTGGATCTACCCAGGCCAGAAGGTAAGACCTCCCCCTCACTCAGCCAGTTGTTCAAGTTCAGGTGTGCTCCCCTCTCCCCCACCTGCCGCGGATGGAGACCTTAACTTACGCGGTGCAAGAAATGGGTGGGACTAAGGGAGGTGCCAGGGCTTGCTGGTTGTCTTCTAAGACAGCGGTCGCCAACCTTTCAGACCTCACGGACCCACCGGTGGTCCATGGACCACCACCAATGGGTGACCGCTATTCTAAGATGTTTTGGTATATTTACAAATGGGATTTTTTTCTTAAAAGTTGCCTGGGTTTCATCAGGCAATTCACTCAGTGTACCCTTTTCATATGTGATTCCTCTTCATAATTCTTTTTTAATATATTTTTTTAAATCAATTTTTGAGGAGAGGGGGAGAGAGAGAGAGAAAAACACCAATGATGAGAAAGAATCATTGATTGGCTGCCTCCTGCACAACCCACACAGGGGATTGAGCCAACAACCCAGGCATATGGCTGGCCAGAAATCAAACCGTGACCTCCTGGTTCATAGGTTGATGCTCAACCATTGAGCCACACCAGCTGGGCTTATCTTCATAATCCTTAAATAAGAAGGAACAGGGGCTTGAAAGGGACAGGACGGGCCTCTTTCTCCACCCCAACCTCAACCTTCCGTCTTAATTCTGGGTCAATCAGAGGCCAATCTAACTTCCCTCTGGTTCCTTTCTGTCTGGCACACAAGCTGTGCCCATGGCGAGGAGCTCTGAGCAGACACCCACAGGCCCCGTCCAAAAGGTGCCATGAGGCCAGAGATACTTTTAAAATAGACTTCCCATAAAAGCAACTACCGCTTATTACGTAGCCACTGTGCGAGCTCTGCTCACTAATAGCAACAGCACTGCCACCAGCAGGAAACAGTCCCTTTGTTGCCAGGAGAGATTTGGCCTCTTGAGAGGGACTCAGCAGCCAACACCCTTCTGGCTCTATGGGCTGAGATTGGTGGAAAAGAACTCTCCCTGGAGAATGGTATATTTCCGGCCTTCTGATGCCGGTACTTGCTTTTACACAGTTGCCACAATTAGAAACCATTAATGATTTTCATTAGAGATTTCTTTTACATTGCCAATTATTATTTTGCGAGCAGAAGGGGGATGAACTGAGTTACACTATATTACAGTTGGTAAGCTGTGATAAGAAAATACTATGTTCTTATCACCGGATGTGGAGGAAGTCTCTCAAAGGTGACCATCAGACGTTCTGGAAATAGGGAGTTACGTCATTGAGGGCATCACATTATCCATCCCTGAGACAACTTCTCTCCCACTGGAGCACGTTTGACTTACCATCCTCCTCTTTCTCCCAAATCTGCACTACTGGGAGCTTTTATTCACTTGCGTGGGGAGTGCTTTGGGCTCCTTTTGACCAGAATTTCTGTAAATAAGAACCAGTGAGTGAGTGGGTGGATGTGGGCAATGCAGAGAAGTGTAGGAAATGTTATCTACATCTTTTTGAGTCATACGAGGCCTACCTCCTTGGAGTTCCAATTCCAAAAGAATCAACCTTATAGTCAGTAGAAATTTACTAAAGAGGCCAGCCGGCATGGTTGAGTGTCCATCTATGAACCAGGAAGTCATGGTTCGATTCCCGGTCAGGGCACATGCTCTGAGTGTGGGCTCGATGCCCAGCGTGGGGTGTGTAGGAGGCAGCAGATCAGGGATTCTCTCTCAGCATTGATGTTTCTACCTCTCTCTCCCTCTTCTCCTTTCTGGAATAACTGCAAATATATATTTTTTTAATTTACTAAAGAAGCCGAAACCGGTTTGGGTCAGTGGATAGAGCATTGGCCTGTGGACTGAAAGGTCCCAGGTTTGATTCCGGTCAAGGGCATGTACCTTGGTTGTGGGCACATCCCCAATAGGGGGTGTGCAAGAGGCAGCTGATCGATGATTCTCTCTCATCGATGTTTCTAATTCTCTGTCCCTCTTTCTTCCTCTCTGTAAAAAATCAACAAAATTAAAAAAATATATTTAAAAAGTTTACTGAAGAAAAGGGCAGAGGGAGTCAATAGTGTAATGAAATCCTAGACGGTGCTTTGAAAATCATGCAGCTTGAGAATGACATGACGATACAGTGCGAAAGCACCCATGGGCCTCGCAGACGGGTCTTGTCTAAGCCTGGCTCCGTGCTGAGTGACTGGGACCTGTGCATAGCGTGTTGTTCCCTCTTCATCCCTGTGGGTGTCATTCAACAGGACGAAAGGCCGGTGACCATCCAGGACACCTGGAGGCTGATCCACAGGGGCCTGGGCCACACCACCAGGATCTCGCAGAGCGTCCTGACGGTGGAGGACTTGGAGACCATCGACGCGGGCTATTACATCTGCACGGCCCAGAACCCCCAAGGACAGACCACAGTAGCCGCCGCCGTGGCGTTCTCCTGACTTGGAAAACCAAGTGCCATGGACTGACGGGCAGCCCACGTGTGCACACCACCAGCGCCAAACCCCGGTCCCCGCCTTGTGAGTAAGACCCAGACATCCACACACACAGGAAGTCGTCCGGTCCGATAACAGACCTGTTCACTCCTCGGACAGAAAGCATGTCTTTCGATTGCTTACCTACTTGCGTACGGTATATGCACTTCTGGTTTTTACACTCAGAGGGCATATATGTGAACAGCTTTATGTAATCGTCTCTATTAAACGAGCAAGTTTTTGTAAAATAAATTTAAAACTGGGCTGAGTGCTCGTGTTCTAGGCTGGCAGGAGGACTTGGTGGTGGTGATGTTTGGGTCAACTTTAATTTCCATTTGGTTTTAATCGCAATACATGAGCATCGACAAAGGTAGTAACTATATATGGATACAGGGGTCCTCAAACTTTTTAAAGTGGGGGCCAGATCACGGTCCCTCAGAGAGCTGGAGGGCCGGACTATATGAACTACTAATTCCTACTATAACACCTCAGCTGTGCTCACTGCCCAAAAAACCTGGCGGGCCGGATCAGACTCCTCTGCGGGCCACAGTTTGAAGACGCCTGGATAGGATATGAAAGTATCCCAAAAAATCATAGAAACTTGCTTTTTATTTAAAAAAAAAAAAAAAAAAAGGCTGCACTCGGAAGTAACTAGGTCTAGATTAGTACATTCAGAAAGATTTCAAAAGTTTAGTTTTCAATATAATAAGTATGCAGATCAAGGAGAATTCAACTTCATTTAAACCTTTTTTTAGCATCTTCAAAAATATTTAGACCATAGTTTTCTCACCTTAAAGAGCGGACATGCTTAAAAAACAGTCAAAAGTTATTCCTCTAAAGTAGGGGTGTCGAACTCAATCAGAGAAGGGGCCAAAATCTAAAATCCAGCCTAAATCGCGGGCCGAATGGTTTACTGAACAGTCATAAACTGTCATTGTGATGGAAACGCAGCGGAGTGCAGTGATGACAGCGCGGTGCGGGCCACATTGCAAGGCCTGGCGGGACGGATTTGGCCCGCGGGCCTTGTGTTTGACACATGTGCTCTAAAGCACAAAGCTTTGAGTTCAGAAAAGCAAAGCTTCCTTCTGAGTTTAGCTCCGTGAGCCTGGTCCCAGCCCTCGGCTAGTGCTGTGGCTGCAGAGGGGACTCCTGGGAACGGCTGAGGAGGCGGCGCTGGCTGTGAGAGGGCCGTACGCTGGGCAGCACTTGGGAGAGTGAAGGACATCACAGGTGGCACTTCTTGTATTAAATATTCCAGCATTGTTTATTTAATCAAGGTAAAAATACACGTGGCATCATTACAAACGGAGCACAATTATCGTTTTTACACATCGGACACTGTGTGACGTGCCGACACTGTACACCGTACATGAAACGTTTGGTTTGAAGACAATCTCCACATTCTCCACATTGTTTCCTGCCTTCTCTCCCACTGTCTCCCATTCTCGGGAGACACTTTACACTAACTGTGTAAGACTGACTTCCGCAGACACCTACAGGGCCTGGAGGAGAGCAGGGGTCAGCGGGAGATTTGCCATGCGCGGGTACGGATGGCAAACCCAACTCCGGCCAAGGACACAGCACAGCTGGAAGGGGTAAGCAGAGGGAGACCTCGGAAGGTGGTTCCCGTTTGTCAGAAGGTTACATACATAATGCACTAGTGAAACTTAGACTTCAGACTCGATCACTAATAATTAGAAAAGAAAAACAACACCATGCATCAGGAGTATTAATTTGCTAGGTAGTGTACATGTAACGATGACTCAGACACCCGCCTCTGGCATCCTGGACCTGCTCTTACCACGGGGGCTGTCTGTCCAGCTGTCGAACGTCAGCGATGCAGGTTAGTAAACCCTGACATCACCATGTTGACACATGAGGGGGGCGGGGGCAGGGTGGGAGAAGCCACAGTGCTTCCTTTCCCTCCCCCAAAGGATGAGAACTGAAGGAGGGGAGGGGGGTCATACGTGAAGTTTGGGAGAGAAAATGAAATGCAACCCGGAGGAGAGTCCTACGAGTAGAAAAAGCCGCACTGCCTACTCGTAAGCTGGCCGTTCTGCCTTGCCAGAGGCAGAAGGATTCCTCAGGGCACAAATGGCGTTATGTCCTATGAGATGCTGCATCGCTGGTTGCACCAAGGTAGCCCTGTCCATCGAGACGCACAGAGCCCGCCTTCCTCAGCCCTGCGAGAACGACTGACTTGTTCTCGATTCCTTCCAGGGTCTCCCAGAGCTTGTCCTGTCAGACCCAGGCTGTGGCTTGTGTGGAGGGCGGTGGCAGCACCTTGAGGAGGAGCTGGCTCTGGAAAAGCACGTGCCACCATCCCTGCCCCAGAGCGCGGTAGGAAGGAGGTAGGAGGGTTGCTTTGGAGGCTCTCGCTGGGCGAGGGCAGGCAGGAACGCGAGGAGGAGGAGGGGAGCAGACAGCAGCGGACACCGCCGAGGACAGCTTAGGTCACGGTACACGGGAGGCAGGGGCGACCCACGGCTGCCGCCCCAATTCCTTCTGCAGAACTTTAGAAAAATTTGGGTTTTACGTCTGCTCGTAGCCTGAGAAAGTGGATCGTAGCAAAACGTTAGGTTCACGTGGAAGCGTGAAAACTCTACAGAAAACACACACACACACACACACATGTATCTAGCTGGTTTTAACTGACATGGCTGAACACGGAAAGAATGCCCAGAGACTCCGAAGGGTACAGACGCTGCACAGACGCAGACCCATCGAAACACTTCCTGTCACCTCCCACCCCACCCCGCGCCGGAGGGCGGAGCGGAGTGGGGGGCAGAGAGCGCCATCGTTCAGGCAGCGATCGCTCTTCCTTCTATGGCTTTTTGCAGAGACGCATACACCGCCTTAGCCGGCGAGCACAGGCCCAGACGCACGCGGCTGGCGGCCGGCCGTACACGGCGAAGAAGGCCGCACCAGACACAGGACGCGCGCTACACCCTTTTATTCACACATCCCCCAGGTAAAAATCACAAGAAGGTGCCTGCGGCAGAGGACATTAGGAAGGTTATAAATCTTTATCGTCAAGAGGCCCCTGAGAGTTTTTCCCCTTATGCCCACGTGAGAAAGGCAATGTTCTTTAAGTGCTTTGTGCAAACGTCCGTGTAGGCCGGTTCCGAAATCCTTTGGGGAGGACGGAGCCTCCCAGCCAGAGGCCTGTGTGCCCCTGGGCGCCGGGCCCAGACTGCGCAGGTCCAGGCGCCAACGACACGCGGGCCCACGTGGCTCCTGGCCCCTCGGCCGCGGGGAGGGTCGGCCCTGCGGCCCATGGCGGTGCTCCCAGACAGTCTCCCGCCGGCCGAGGCGTCATCTGGGCGACACGCTGGGGCTGGGGAAGGAGCCGGAGTTCCGCGGCGACTGGAAGGGGATGGCGGGGGACGTGGGGGACCTGTCGGAGCCGCACAGGTCCCCGTTGTGCAGCTTCCACAGCAGCTCCTCGTTCTCCATGGACAGGCGCTTGTTGACTTTGGACTCCTTCTCCAGCCACTCCTGCAGGGTGGCCTGCTCGTTGGACAGTTGCCTGGAAGACAAAAGAGCCAGGAACCACATGGATCTTTGTTGTTATTGATTTCAAAGAAGGGGGAGAGAGAGAGAGAGAGAAACATCAATGATGTCCTTGATCGGCTGCCTCCTGCACGCCCCCTACCTACGGGGATCAAACCTGCAACCCAGGCAGGTGCCCTGACCAGGACTCGAACCATGACCTCCGGATGGATAGGTCAATGCTCAACCCACTGAGCCACACCAGCCAGGAATGGATTTCTAAAAAAAAAAATGAACTTGAAAAAAATGTTTTCTTGCCTTTTTAAATGTGAGGGTCCAGAAAAATGAGCCCTGGGCACTGGTACTGGCTGCCTGAGAAACCCAGGACGTGGGAGCCAGAGGGAGAGCTGCCCTTGGGGCCCATGTCACAGGAGGCTCTGTGACGCGCCCACAGATCATCTGGGTGTCATGTGACTGTCCCGTGTGGGGCGGTTCCCCATGGGTCCCGTGATGCTCTTTCTCCGAAGCATCACTCCGGGGGCTCTGGGGGGAGGCTGGCTGCTTAGGTCTCAGCGCCCAGCCCAGGCCCCACAGTCAGGCCGTAAAGGGCCACCGCCACCCGTCCCAGGTAGAAACCAGCACCTGCTCCCCCACCCTCTGCGATCCGGCTCCCAGGAGCCGTCTTGGGGTGGGGGTTGGGGGGTGGGGAGTGAGGTCCAGTGACACTAAACGTAGGAGGAAGGGGGAGATGGGAACAACTGGACGTTTTCTCTTTACCTTGAAATTGCAACGTGCTTGTCTATCCGAGCTTTTAACTCCTCATTCTCCTGCTGGCAGCGCTTCAGCTTGTCCACCAGCGCGGTGTTGTTGTCCTCCTGGGGGCAAACAAGCATGCCAGCGGGTAGACATTAGAAACAGGGAAACAAAGCCCTCGTTTCCCACGGCACATTCCTGATACCAGCACACACTGGAGAGATCTGATTGAGGCAAGTTTAACTGTATAGTGAAATACCTATCCACAGACACACTGCAAAATAGAATCCAAAGCAGCAAAGCAGAGCATCTGGGTCAAACTATTAAATTTGTGGCTGGTGAGCTGCCTGCCTCATCCTCCTATATAATATGCAAATTGACCCTCATGCCCTCACAAGATGGCTGCCTACAACCTGGCTAGCAGGGGGGTTAGTGAGGTGTGACCAAATGACTGAAAAGCAGGCTATGTGGAGTGATGAGGCTGGCAAGGGGGGTTGGGGACAGCTGGGGGCAACCAGGCCAATGGGGGAGGGGTGCAGTTGGAGGCAACCAGGCTGGTGGGGGGGTAGGGGCAGTTGGGGAAGATTAGGCTGGCAGGGGGGCAGTGAAGGGTGACTAGGCCAGCAGGTGGGCAGTTAGGGGAAACCAGGCCAGCAAAGGGGGACAGTTGGGGGTGACCAGGTTAGCAGCGGGGGCAGTATGTGGTGACCAGACAGGCAAGTGAGTGATTAGGAGCCAGTGGTCCAGGATTGTGAGAGGGATGTCCAGCTGCTGATTTAGGCCGAATCCCTGAGGATTGAGCCTAAACTGGCAGTCAGACATCCCCAAGGGGTCCCAGATTGGAGAGGGTGCGGGCTGGGCTGACGGGACCCCACCCCCCATGCACGAATTTCATGCACCGGGCCTCTAGTTTATTATAAACGAGGCATGCGGCCCACCTGCCACGAGTTTGACATGCTTGATCTAGGTATTTAAAAAAAAAAGCATTGTGAGATTTCAAGAACCGCTTGAACAATGAACACAAGGGTGTCACACCATTTTAGAGGTTCCCCCAACCTCCTGACTGGGAAACCATGGGGCCGTGCCTCTTGGATTCAAGGTAGTAAAACAAAATGCAGACATAGGCCTGCATTTATCAAGGGCATCAGCACATTTTATGGTCCGTCTTGCAAAAAATAAATTCCCACGTTTGATGAAAACATTAAGGGCAACAACAGGTCGCCGCTCTGGGTGATGTTCAGTGTGGCCTGAAACGTGGTTTCCTAGCTCCTCCTCAGCATCCATTTACCTCTCATGGCCCCACAAAGTAGCGGTTTACAAAACAAGCGTCCAATGGAGAAGCCAGCACAGAGCGCCTCCCCCTCAGCTCAGTTGAAGACACATTGGCCTCCTTGCTGGCCTGCCCCGGCTACACTTTCAAGGAAGACATATTGATTGGTTGGGAGATTAAAGGATAAAATCCCAGAAGGCATTTCACCTGCTGAGGAGCTGATTACATCCCAGAGTGCTTTGTAAAGGTAAGATTTTGTTACTCGCTTAGGACTGTGGTGGGCAAACTGCGGCTTGCGAGCCACATGCAGCTCTTTGGCCCCTTGAGTGTGGCTCTTCCACAAACACCACAGCTTGGGCGAGTCTATTTTGAAGAAGTGGCGTTAGAAGAAGCTTAAGTTTAAAAAAAAATTTAGCTCTCCAAAGAAATGTCAATCGTTGTACTGTTGATAGTTGGCTCTGTTGACTAATGAGTTTGCCGACCACTGGCTTAGGAGACGACATCGCAGCTCGGTCACAGTTAATTCTGAGTCCCTGACATTGTACCATACGACTTCGCTATGTAGATTATGGCTCCAACGGGACGTGGACATCCGTTCTCTGTCCAAGAGCCACAAACTAAACCGCACTCACAGCCTTCACAGTGCATGCTCTTTATCCCACTGGATTCGTCTTATTGAAGTACAGTGGTTAGCCCGTTCTACTTCACAAGGAGCAAGACGAAGAACTTCGGTAGCCAGATTCAATTGCTCCACTGAGACCAACTCTCATGTCTAACTTTTTGGGGCATCCGAAACCTGCCCAGAGTTGGAGAAACATCAAAGTACTGATGTGATATGATTTGAAAAGCCTCCCTACACAGGGCAAGACACACAGACCCCTGAAGGGGGAGCTGCTTTGTTTGTTGTGGGTTTTCCAAGGACCCCATGCTGCTTTACCTGTTTGGAAGAAGGAGGAAGGAGGAGGGAGAAGGAGGGAAAAGAGGGAGAAGGAGGAGGAAGAGGAGGAGGAGGAGGAAGAAGAGAAAGAAGGAGAAAGAAGAAGGAGAAAGAAGGAAGAAGAAGGAGGAAGAGGAAGGAGGAGGAGGAGGAGGAGGAAGGAAGGAAGAGGAGGGAGGAGAAAGGAGGAGGGAGGAGGAGGAGGAGGAGGAAGGAAGAGGAGGAAGGAAGGAAGGAAGAGGAGGGAGGAGAAAGGAGGAGGGAGGAGGAAGAAGGAGGAGGAAGAAGAAAGAAGAAGGAAGAAGAAAGTGTTGCAGAAGGCAGCCATGGCCAGCCTGGAGCAGGCACAGAAACGGAAGGGAAACCTCTTTGCCTGCGGTAATCTTCCCAGTAGCCCCAGGAGTAGCTACAACAGCCCCCAGTGCTAGGTCCCAGCCCGGTCTCCACTTCGCAGCACCAGGCCCTCTGGGGAGGCGCTGGCGGAAACGCACCAGTTTCTCCATCTTCATCAGCTTCACGTCCTGCTGGTGCAGCTTCTCGTTCTTGATCTCCAGCACGGCCTTCAGGCTCTCCAGCTCCTGCTCCAGGTACATGATCTGCGGGTTTTTCTGGGAAAGACACAGCAGATCAGTAAGTGCAATCCCACTGTGCCAATTCTTAATTAAAAAAAAAATTATATATATATATCTGATTAGACCTAGGAATTAGACAAAGCGGCAGCAAGCTTCTACCTCCTTACCTGGTTTGTCTCAAAGAAAAGAGGTGAAAGGAATGGTTAGGCTAACATTGACCTCACAGCCGTCGGTTATAAGGAGGACATAAAACATTTCCTATCTGGAAATGAGCAGCAATGAAAAGACGGTGCATACATAGGGCTCTCTGGAAGCCCACAGGGATGCCCATTCATCCTGCGTCTTTGGGATTTTCAGCGTGATGGGACTGCGCTGGCCTGGCCGTCCGGGTATCTGTGTTGTCATTTTATTTTGTGACAGCCAACACCTGCGCAGCACATAGCACAGGCACTACCAAAAGTCTACCAAATACTCCGTGAGGGGACACCTTCTTAGAGCCCCACTCCAGGGGAGATCCCCCTCCTTGTTTACATATGGAAATTCAGGTGAGCCATCCAAAATGCATAACACAAATGGTCAGTGGGACCGCCCCCTTCCCTCTCCCCCAGGGACTCCTGAGCTGGCAGCAGAGTTCAGGAGGCGAAAAGCTTAGCTTCCAGCGGGGACTGGTTTGGCTCAGTGGATAGAGCATCGGCCTGGGAACTGAAAGGTCCTGGGTTCGATTCTGGTCAAGGGCATGTACCTTGTTGCGGGCACATTTCCAGAAGAGGCAGCTGGTCGATGTTTCTCTCTCATCGACGTTTCTAGCTCTCTCTCTCTCTCTCTCCCTTTCTCTCTGTAAAAAATCAATAAAATATATTTAAAAAAAAGCTTAGCTTCCAGCCTCAGGGCACCAGGCTATGGATAGTGGTTCTCAAAGCACAAGCGGTCAACTTTTTATTTTTCTCCCCCCCCCAAAAAAAAGGAGTGAGGCAGGGGAGTGAGGGGACGAGCTACAAGAGCAAGTTGAGCTCGCGAGAGAAATTGGCCCTTTTCAAAAGGAAAGAGCGATCATACAGTGAAATACTGGTCGGCAAGGAAAGGCATGGAGTGCCTACACCTGCTGTACCACGCACGGACGCCGAGAATGTACGCTCCGTGGAAGAAGCCAGATGCAGAAGGCCACGGACACGATTCCGTTTCAGTGCAGAGGCAAGGCCACACAGACAGGAAGTAGCCTGGCGACGCCCTGGGGCTTTGTGGGAAGACAGGGGGTGACTGCTAACGAGTATGAGGCTCTTTAGGGTTGATGCAAATGTTCTGGGGTTAGATAACCGGTGACCAACACACAACTTGGTGACCACCAAATGCCACATTTTATAGGGTATATAAATTATGTCTCCATACAGCAGCCAGTTTAAAAAAAGGAAAAAAAAAAAGTGAAGACTTCAAACAAAAGCCTGACCCTAAACTGATACTTTTCTTGCTGTAGGTATTAGCTTAGACCACTTGCAATATATAGGGTATCCCCCAAACATGTATACTCACTTTAACAGCTGGTAGCTGTTTAACAAAAATGAAATTTATTTTAATAAACATGGCGTATACATTTGGGGAGGACACTCTGTCTCCTGGGCTTCATCTGCATGCCAGTGTTCATTTTAAAATATATTTTATTTATTTTTTACAGAGAGGAAGAGAGAGGGATAGAGAGTCAGAAACATCGATGAGAGAGAAACATCGATCAGCTGCTTCCTGCACACTCCCTATTTGGTATGTGCCTGCCACCAAGGTACATGCCCTTGACAGGAATCGAACCTGAGACCTTTGAGTCCACAGGTGGACACTCTATTCACTGAGCCAAACCAATTAGGGCTGCATGCCAGTGTTTAAGATTTTAAAAACACACCACTAAGCACAGAAGCAGTTCCATACAGTTTAAACAGCACAACTCAAGAGCTGAGGAGGGCCCCAGACTCTGCCATTTCTCTGCTGCTGAACATAACTCGACTTGAAACGGTGGGTAAGGAGGAGGAGAACTCCGTAATGATGGAGGATCACGCAACTTACTGAATTCGCTTTCTCTCTTGAGAGTCTTTTTTGTTCTTCTGATTTCAGCTTTTCATTCAAAGCCTCATTTTCACTCTTCAGATCAGTGATTTGTTTCTGAAACACAAACAATGAAACGTGGGACATGAGTCGGCACACAGACACCGGAACCACAGCAGAATGTGCGCAGAAACATACCTGAACCCGCACACCCCAGAGCTCAAGATTATTATTATATTTTTTTTGTACTGAGATGTACCCACCTCTAGGGATTCCTGCTTCTCAGAAAGCAAATCCTCGAGTGATTTCTTTTCTAATTCATGGCTTTTCTTGATTTCTGGAAAGAAGTGATATTTTTATTGGCCTATGAGGTCACTGCGTTCTGTAGTTGTTAAGCACATACTCTTAAAAGAGTTGGTGGCAAAGCAATATGGCTGCTGCTTCATATTTGTGCGATGCTTTTATATAAATTAACCTGTTCTCGGGTCAGCCCTGTGAGGCGAGAAAGACGCATAGTCCCAGTTTATTATGCGACCACTGAGGCCCACAGGGGCCAGGAGCGCAGAGCAGACTCTCAGGGACGGGCCTCGAACCCTGGCCTGCAGCCCCCCGCCCTGGAGCTCCTGTGTTCTCCATTTGCATTTCATGAACCAAACAGAAATCTAAACTTAAACCCATTTCTAGGAAGAAGGAAGGAAAACAGTATTTACTAAATGTCTACCCTGGGCTGGTCACTTTCACATGTTATCATCTTGGACTTCACACAATGACTCTATTTTCTAAATTTTTAAAATATGTTTTCATTGACTTCAGAGGGAGGGAGGGAGAGATAGATACATTGATGATGAGAGAGAATCACTGATCGGCTCCCTTTTGCACGCCCCCTACTGGGAGTTGAGACTGCAACCCGAGCATTTGCCCTTTACTGGAAATCAAACTATGACCTCCGGTTTCAGGGGCCAATGCTCAGCCAGTGAGCCACACTGGCCAGGCTGTATTTCCTGATGAAAAAGGCCTTTGCTGAAGGCCTCACAGCCAGTTCTTCCCACCCCTCCACACGCTGCTCTTTAGGACACAATGAGTTTAGTGTAACAACTTCGGCAGCACGGCCATCTCTGTTCTGAAAGAAATAGCTTCTTATTCTTTTCCTCCCACTTGCACCCTCCCAGTCGTGGTGACATAATAAAAATTCTTTTTTCTTTCAACGAATGCCATCTCCCTTTTCACAGGGGTGTCAGTGGGTAGGCATGTTGGGGAGCAGGAGGGCTGCCCAGCATGGACCCCATCCCGTGGCCAGGACATGAAAGCACACCTCCATGTCCCAGAGCTTAAGGTGGTCAAAGACAACTTTCCTAAAAGGCCTTTAAGTTCTTTAAAAGCCTGCCTACTTCCCAAAATGCCGTCAGTTATAACAAACTATTATTTGTTTGTTATGAGGGAAAGGACATGGCTAACAATGAACAATGCAAAAAGAAGCCAAAACACCCCAAACTGAATGTCGCAGAGGAGGAAGCGGTGAATCATTTCCGCTTTAAACACATCATGCTGTTCCATTAGATCTTATTCTATTTAAACTGAAAACAAGCATTCTTGCCTGAAAGGGAGTTTTCATAGGCCTTCTTCAGTAATTCTACTTCGTCGGAGTGGCTAGCTTCAATTTCCAACTTCGAGGTTTCATGGGCAGCACTCAAGTTGTCAAACTATGAGAAAAAAACACACACAACAAAACAATAGTTTACCAGTAAAATCAGAAGTCCTAAGTGGAACAGTAAGTACCAATAGTAGGAAACTTGACACATACACTTGAATTCAAGTTGAAGGCCTACCTAACGCCATGTCAAGACCAACCCCATTTGATATTTGCCACTCTCCGGCCTCCACTCCATCCCACCCAGGATCAGACACACAGCTCGCCAGGGTGCACTGAAGGCCATGGCGAATCCATCACCAGGAGGGAGGGGGCGTGTCCCAGTGACAGGACACAGTGGCTCCACCCCTGTCACAGGGGCTCTATATCCCCAGTCCCTAGCACATGGTGTATAGTAGGAACTCCGAACAAATACTTGCAAACTGTTAAGCTGGTTTAAAAAGGGAACAAGGGCCGGGACCGGTTTGGCTCAATGGATAGAGCGTCGGCTTGGGGACTGAAAGGTCCCAGGTTCGATTCCGGTCAAGGGCATGTACCTTGGTTGCGGGCATATCCCCGGTAGGGGGCGTGCAAGAGGCAGCTGATCGATGACTCTCTCTCATCGATGTTTCTAACTCTCTATCTCTCCCTTCCTCTCTGTACAAAATCAATAAAATATATTTTTAAAAAGGGAACAAGGAAATGAAGAGCAGCTTCTAATATACTAATAAGTGAAAATTATGGGTTATTAAATAAGGGCCATTTTTTAAAAATTCAAAGTTTAGCAGCACAACAACAGAATGGTCACTAAGGGGTTATTCCTAGGTAATAAAATAAGGCTTGTTTTAATTTTGTCTTTTTCCTTCCCTTTCGCTCAACACGTGTACATTGCTTTCATCATAAGAAAAAATTTAATTTAAAAACCCTTTTTGCCCTAGCCGGTTTGCCTCAGTGGATAGAGCATCAGTCTGTGGACTGAAGGGTCCCAGGTTCAATTCCTATCAAGGGCACATGCCTGGGTTGTGGGCATGCAGGAGGCAGTCAATCACTGATTCTCTCTCATCAATGATGTTTCTCTCTTTCTCTCCCTCTTCCTTCCTCTCTAAAATCAATAAAAAAATATATTTTTTAAAAAACCCTTTTCACATTTTTAAATAAATAAAAAGGGATGTTCAACAAAGACAGGTTCAAAAAGGAAGTGGACCATCAAATAACAAATACAAGTACAGAGCCAAGGACACACTTTGCTAAAGCACAGACCTGCTCTTGCAGCTGAGTTTTGTACTTCTCTGCTTCTTCGATGTAAATGTTCTGGAGCTTCTCACACTCCTCGGTGTAGAACTCTTTGAGCCGATTCTCTAGCTCGGTTAGATCCGTCTGGTGCTGCTGGTTCAGCTTCTGGACAAATCCTTCATAAGCTGCTTGCAACTCATTCCTGGCTTTTTCTAATTCCTCACAGGTGGTTGAAGCAGTGACTGGAGATGAACAAAGAGAAAGGTAACACTTGACTTGTTCAATGTCCTACACACACAGCTGGGATATCTCAGTTCTTGGGTGACCAGATTTCAAACCTAATAGAACAAAATTCACCAGTGAAAAAGAGCCAGGTTCCCAGTGCAGATCACCCTTTTCCATGGTGACCAATCAGTGCAGGGCCCATAAGGAGAGGAGGCTCTGATTGGCCAGGCGTCTCTGAGGACAGCCAGCCAGGAGGGAGAAGCCAAGACACAGAAGGGGCAGGGAAGACCAGAGAGAAGAACAAATGGATTTACTTTCTACTTCATTTGATCTGATTTCAACTTATTTTTAAAAATACAGCAATAAACAACAAAATATTAGACCATGTTGAAAACAAATTACCATCGCATACAAACTTTAGGAAAAAATGCATTTTAAAAGCTATATAATGTAATATGACAATAATAATAATAATATACTGAAAGGTTAATAGTTTTAAAAAGGCAAAGTAATTTGATAAACATAACTTAAAATCAGAACATCCTATTCTTCACCACTACCAAGACCAGAACTACCAACAGTGCACTGCAGAACTCACGCACAAATACGTACTCCCACTCACTGTAAAAAGCCTGGAAGATCTCATTTCTCGGAAAGTTTGACTTTGGACTTTTCCAGCCTTCCTTCACTGATGGTAAATACAGATAAGTGGGATAGCAGAAAATGGGGACTTTAGGTGAATCTGTTAAATTAATCCTTCTCTTTTTGTAAGGAATACATATTTTAAGAGTTGTGGAAGGAAAATGATGGTTTTAGGGTAGAGAAAATGACAGTTTAGATCCATGATTACTCTACCTAAGTAATGTGGATTTGGCCAACTCCTGGGATGAATTTCTGGCAAGATGTAGACTGTTTTCTTAGGAATACACCATGTGGCAGTAGAAAAACCAGTCACATGTCCCGTATCAGTCTTCTTTCAGAGGTAAAATGGGCCACATTGAAATAATAGCAAGAATGGTGTCCACTAAAGAGAACGCTTACAATTCAAATAAACCCACAAATATTTCCTGAAGGGGGAAAGGAACTAATATTAAAAACAAGAAACTGCTGCCCAGCCCATGTGGCTCAGTGGTTGAGGAGAATGCTGCTCTGAACACGAGTGTGTCTGTGTCTGTGTGTGTGTGTGTGTGTGTGTGTGTGTGTGTGTGTGTAGAGATTATAGCTGGAGGCAGATTATAGAGGCCATTACATGAAATATCACTGACAACTCATTCTTTGGGAAGAAACTTTGGAAGTTATTTTTTTCTCTTAAAGTTTCATAACAGATAAGGGCTCTGTCGATTACTACAGAGCATCTTCAATATTCACTTGTCCTTTTACTGCGCTGATTACTTATCTGAGAAATAATGATTCAAGAAGGCCCATGGGAGGCAAAGGAGTAAACACAACTTAACTACTGCTACCTAACTCTCCACGGTGCACAAGCAAAAGGATGGACCCCAGCCTCTTTGGTGGGGATTCTATGTTAGAACTCTGGGAAAGTCAGCAACAGAAAAAAATATTTTGGAAGCAGTCAGTGAGGGTATCAAATAACTTTCTAGTCAGACAAACACAGCCTTTTTCCTTAATTCCCTTGGAATTCCAGAATTTGGGGCAGGGGGGTAGGGGGGAATAGCATGACCCCTAGCCCATCCAAATGCTCACATCAGAACTAGAAAACAGAAGAGCTTCTAGGCGGAAGCTTGCCATTGCTAGTGGGTGAAGGGAGGACAGACAGACAGAGACGGGAGGGGAGGGAAGGGGAGGGGAGGGACTGAGAAGCTGGACCATATGGGGAGTGGGCTCTTTGCTGCTCTAGTACACAGCCCAGTGCGCAGGCGCGGCCCAGATGGTGACATCAGCCCACAGCTGTGCTGGGAGCTCTGCCCAGGGTGCCCCCTGTGCTGTGCGGAGAACAGCTGGGTGGTGTGACCATTCACAAAGGCCTTTCTTTCTCATCCTTGGCCTGGGCTCCTGGGGAAACATTCATTTGGTGTAAAGGTTTGTGAAAGACTCCCCCCACTTTTTTTTTTTTTTTATGTATTCTATGTGTACATATCTTACCATTGCCCCCCCCCATACCCCACTCCCATACATGCCCTCACCCCCCAATGTTTTGAAGGACACGTGCACTGAGTTACCAAGGGCACTCCGGGTGTCCCTGTCACCCCGGGGGCAGGCATGGCTGTCCTTGCACTTCCCACCGTTAGGAGAGATTTCTCATGTCCCCCTGCTTGCCGGCTCCCATTCTCAGGCCTGTCCCTTCCTGGCTTCTTCTCCAGAGCCCACTGGCCTCCAGTCACCTAGTCAGGCACCCAACAAGCCCCGATCAAACACGCGATGTTTCAGCCCGGAGTATCCCACACTGCTAGGCGGCACTTATCCAGAAGTTATTGGGTAAATGCAACACCCACACCGCAATGAAGTAGTCCTCTGTCCTCGTTTTGAAAACATCCTTCCACGAGGTGATGTTTAAAAGCAAGTCTGATTGAGGGCACTGAAGCCCACTGCCTGCAGCAGAGAGGGCGGATGACGACTCTCATACACAGACTGGCAAGGCCACCTCCAGCAATCCGCCTTGAAACGAGGAATACCGTTTCCAATGAGAAAAAGCAGACACCCCTCACTGACAAGATTAGCCCTCAAATGTGGGCCGCGTTGCCGACGAGAAGTCAACACTCCACTCTGGGAACTGAGAATTCTAGGCCAACGACAAAAACAGGAAAATCGCAGGGACACTCCCTGACAGTTGGAAACATCGGTAGCCGAGCAAGGAGCAGATATTTCAGAAGAAGCGGTGACATGCCTGATTCGTTTTCTTTTCCACTAACTCTCTGGGTGACATCTAGAAAATGCCCAATGTCAGAGTCAAATATAACCTCTGGGAAGTAGAACTGGACGTAGAGTCATCCCCAAGGAGAGGAGACGGCGCCATTACATGCTGAGTCCTGGCGGCTTTCCTAAGAGGGGGAGGTCGGGTTTTTATTACTCCATTTTGCAGAGACTAATTTCCCCTTAGTAACTGGTAAATGCGCTACATGCACAGAAAACCTCACTAGACAACCATGGTCGTAAGTTTTAATATTCTTTTGAAATAAAACTGACAGTTCTTCATTTTTATGTCTCTGTAGCATGCTTCATCAAGAGACAATCACAAATATTTTAACTCTCAAGAATGCAAATACAAGTCTTAATAGAAAAGAGGTAGAATTCGTAGGTCCACATCTCAGCCACACCATTTATCTAGTATGCGATTTGAGAAACTTAAGCTTTCTAAGTCTGCATGTCGTCATTTTAAATGGAGATGATATGTTAGTGCCTTCCCTGCAGAATTAAATAAAAATAATACATGTGAAGCGCTGGGCCCAGTGCCTAACCTGAGCATGCATGTAATAGATGTTATTAACAAACAGCCTTGCAAAGGGCCACCGATTCACATGTGCTTGGAGAGCCCTCAAAGGCATGTGTGGGTTTCCGGGGCAGAATGTGACAGTTAAAACGAAGCACTGCTTGTCTCGTATTCAAAGAAGATAAATACACGCATGCACACAACCACCAAATCTTCCCTGTCTGCCACTCTTGTTCTTGGCAGTCTATGCAATAGAATTTTCCCACTTTTAGGCGATTTTTACTTACATTGGACATAAAATGATAAAGAAAAAACAAAATTGGGGAGGTTGCCCTAATGGCTCGCGAGCCACATGCAGCTCTTTGGTCCCTTGAGTGTGGCCCTTCCACAAAATACCACGACCTTGGGCGAGTCTATTTTGAAAAAGTGGTATCAGAAGAAGTTTAAGTTTAAAATATTTGACTCTCAAAATAAATTTCAATGGTTGTACCGTTGATATTTGGCTCGGTTGACTAATGAGTTTGCCGACCACTGCCCTAACCAGTTTGGCTCAGTGGATAGAGCATCGGCCTGCAGACTCAAGGATCCTAGGTTTGATTCAGGTCAAAGGTATGTACCTTGATTGTGGGTACATCCCCAGTAGGGGGTGTGCAGGAGGCAGCTGGCTGATGTTTCTCTCCCATCACTGTTTGTGACTCTCTATCCCTCTCCCTTCCTCTCTATAAAAAAAATAAATAAATAAAAATAAATAAATAAATAAATAAATAAAATATATTTTTAAGCACATTGAGGAGGTCACATGGAAGAGCCTGCAATGTTTGTGATGCCATGTAAGAGACTGGGAAAGAAAGAAAAGACAAACTGGGAAGATGACTTCACACCCTAGCTGTACACACGTGCTTTTTCTAGATGCTTCCTGCAGGCCTGCTGTGGATAACAGTGCTTCTCAGAGCAGAGATTCCCTTCCCCGCACCGTCTACGAGGGAAACGAGTTGCCGGAATCCAGCCCTGCTTGCCTGCTTTGGGCCACTTTCTCAATCTCTCTCTGGCCACCTGGGAAGTCAGGCACCTGCTTTTAGTTCTGGGCACCTTTGCTATTGTCTTCAGTAGTATACACTTCTTCACATAAACATAGTTTGTGTTTTTAAACTTTTAATTGTAGAATAATTTCAGATTTGTAGAAAAGGTACAAAGAGGGTAGAGAGCATTCCCAGCATCCCCAAGAATGAACATCTTACGTAACAGTGACCTTACTTCCCCTGTACCCCTGCCCTAGAAGTATGAATGGGGACTCCACCTACTACTATAGTAGCATGGCTATTTCATAATATCATTCTATGAAGGGAAATCCAGTCATGACATACTTCCAGGGCAAGTGATTATGCTGGTTACTCTCTTAAAAGGAAGTTTAAACTGTTTAAAATTGGAGATAGCACTATAACTGAACAAAGTAACCCAAGAAGCCATTTTTAAAAAAAGTAAAATTGCTATTCTGTGGAAAGGCAGTAGCCTACAGAAGAACAGCCAAAGGGTAGGGGCCTAGATTATCCTACAACAGTCATTCCCAACTTTCCTCAGGCCAATTTCCTGATACACACGGTAGGAATGAATATCACCTGCTCAGAGCCC